TTATCCCAAGTGTATAAGGTCCAACTCTGCTACATTTGTCTTAGCACCCACCGACGATTACGAAGTAAAAAGTATCATAAAATCATTAAACGATACCAATTCGACCGGTTACGATGACCTATGCACAAAAGTGATAAAAAGTTGTGCGGAGGAATTGGCTCCCTTATTGACGCATCTAATAAATATTTCATTTGCAATAGGCAAGTTTCCGTCCTCTCTAAAAGTGTCCATAGTAAAGCCTCTGTTCAAGGGAGGAGAGACCGACAATGTTTGCAACTATCGACCCATCACCCTTATCCCGATACTATCCAAAATATTTGAAAAAGCTTTTCATAAGCGTCTAAATTCTTTCTGCGAAAAGTTTAATTTGATACGACCAGAACAACATGGTTTTCAAAAGGGTAAATCGACATCATTGGCTTGCTTTAAAATTATTCAGCAGATCTCATCCTACATGGACAAGCGCATTCCGGTGTCTATGATTTTGTTTGACCTTAGTAGGGCCTTTGATTACGTGTGTCACAAAATACTATTAGGGAAACTAGAGTCATACGGAGTCCGCGGAAATGCCTATAGTTGGATAGAATCCTATTTAAGTGGAAGAACTCAGAGGGTTGAAATAAATAAACTTGATGATTCATTACAGTTGACAGCTTATAAGTCCGAGATAAAGACACATGCTGTGTGGTTAGCCTGGCCAGCCCCGAGGCAGTGCCTTTATTTTTATTTTTTTATCCCGCCCGAACCGCGTTTAGAGTAGGAACACAAATTGTTATAAAAAAGAGAAAATTTTGCACTACAAATTTTCCCTTTTTTAAGTTTGATTTAGAATGTGACTTTCTTAAAGTGAATTTTGTAATTCCTACTAAGAAATAAATGCTTTGAGTTTGAGTTTGAGTTTGAGTTTGAATATACACCAAATAATTATGGAGTACCACAAGGCAGCATTCTCGGCCCTCTATTATTTATTTTATATATTAATGACCTACCAGAAAATTTAAATTATTCCTCAATACTGTTTGCTGATGACATTTCAATAATTATTAATAAAATTCCTAATATTGACTATGAAAATGAAATAAATTATACAATAACAAAAGTAATTGACTGGCTGACTTGTAATAATTTGAAAGTAAATTTGACAAAATCTAAATATATTCAGTTTTATAATCAAAATGGGAAACCGCAGAGTCTAACAGTCGCTCATGGGAATAATAATATTTCAGAATTTCCTTTATCTAAGTTCTTGGGAATCATTTTGGACACAAAACTGACATGGAAGAAACACGTTGAAGAAGTTTGTAAGAAAATAAACAGATTCACTTATGCATTATATAGACTGAAACAACTCTGTGATCAGAAAACAGCATTAGTGGCCTATCATGGCTATGTGATGTCTAGACTTAGATATGGCTTAGTATTATGGGGAAATAGCGTGGACTTGGAACGTGTATTTATAATCCAAAAAAAATGCATAAGAGCAATGTGTGGGGTTGGGCCACTAGAGTCCTGCAGACCATTGTTTGTCAGATTGAAATTACTACCATTGCCTGCATTGTACATATTTGAAACTTGTTTATTTGTCAAAAACAACTTAGGATTGTATAGCAAAAAACATGAAAACTGTACATTCTCTACTAGATACCCACATAGATTAGTAGCTATTCCTAGTAAAACCACATCTTTTCAAAGAAATTGCTATAACATGTCAGTGAAACTTTTTAACAAGCTGCCTATTGATATAAGGGAGATGCCAGTGACTGCATTCAAAAGGAAATTGTATGATTTGTTATGTCCCAATTGTATTTATAGTGTCGATGAATTTATGCGAATGAAAACTAATTTAATGTATTGACTGACTACTTTATTATTATAATTAATGACTTCTTCTCACTTTATTATTATAATTAATGATTTGAATTGATTTATTTACTAAGATTTTACGAATTATGCGTCTGACTCAATTTGCATACCAAATTATATGTTGGTTAAATATGTGATACGAATTATATTGTACCATCTACCATCTTTGTGAACCATATTTACTGCAAATAAAATTCTTTATCTTTATAGGATTGCTATGTTATTTTGGACAAGGGTCAAAACAATTTTTGTAACTAGAAAATGTTATCCGCGATCAAGGGAAAATGTATAAGATTTTATGGTTTTGATCTAGAATAAAACTTACCAAACACATAGACGAAGTGTGATGACTGAAGATGACTAATAAAACGTAGTTTTAACTTACCTGAAATAGAAAAAAATACATTCATAAGATTAAGTAACAATATTTTGGCAAGAAATACAATACTTCTTTTTAGTATAGATTTTGTTAAGCATAGTCTGTTGACTGACACATTTCTGCGTACGTACCCTGCATAGGTACCCCGTTAAAATAAATAAGTGTGATTTTAACCTTAATCAAACGTGACTAACAAAAAAAATAGGTATGGAATTTATGGATTTTTTATTGTCAGCCAGTGTCACTCGCGCTGCTAAGATAAATCATAAATCTAACGACATCCTTGTACACATACATAATACTCTCGAAAAATACCTATAACACGAAAACATACGCGTTTAAGAACTCCAAAAATGTCAAAAGGTGAGATTTGCATACAGTGATTCATATTTCAAAGCAAACATAATTCCTATAAATCATGGCAGACCATAAAAGATCCCTGGCAAACATCGCGAATAAAGGTGAATAAAGGTGCCCGCAGATTCGACGACTTAATACTTCGATTCCTGCCCTGGCTAGGGTGGCCAAATTTTAGAAGAAACGCCGGACTGACTGACAAACTACACGGCTCGAAAAACGGTTATTTACGACAGCTTTCCGCCGGCTTGTTTTGTATGGAAATCAATTCCGCAGGCCTTTCGTTCCTGTTTCGTCCCAAGCCCTGTCGAGATGTCAAATAGAGTTTGACAAGTAATTTCTATAGAAAACATGTAACGTCATCAGATTTTTTGTTCCTTTTTACGATTATTTTGACACTTTGTCCATGCTGTATCGAGCTATGACAACCGTGTTTTCGTCACAGGCTCCAATTTCTACAGGTGAAATTCGATGTGCATTGCGTAGCTGGTTTAATAATCGGATCATAATGGCTAACCGGCTACGGAATGTACATCGAATAACGCCTGTAGAACTGTAGCCTGTACACTCGGTGCAGCTAGCTTTTTAGAGACGGAAATAAATACAGATAATGAGGTTTTATTCAACCGTTGCTAATAGGCCCCTTGATTTGCACTAAGCACAATTTTGACCTCATAAAGAATTTGGTTTTACTTACCTAACTTTTCTGCTATCTGTGGCAATTTTTTATTCCAGCACTGTATGTAACGATTTTTTAAAGGCAAGAAAATAAATTACGATCGTGAAAATCGTAGAAAGTTTACTCGGCCAAGTCCCAAAAGCTCGACGCCAATTTATTAAAACACGATTTGAATAGCCAAGGAAAATATCTGACTTTGTCCGGATTCGTCCAGACGCGTGGCAATCCTAACTTTGGCCAGTCATAACACGACCCCAGCTTGTTACAGTCGCACGTGTGTCGCCCCCCTAAACTACCCCCATTTTAGGCAAGGCACACACGAGCGGTAAAAGGTAGCTGCAGTAAAAGTGAGGTTACTTTTTACAAGCAAGCTGTTTGCTTGTCTGGTTCGGAATAGCTTCATTTTGTAGTATTTTGTCTCAATTTTTGTAAAGTTGTAGCGGACGCTACGACGGCTACATTGCTACGGCGTAGCAGATTTTACTACCTGCTTTCTTTTTCTTTTGTGGTATGATTTATTGTGTAGAGTAGGGACCTATTAGGTATAGGTACATAAACACAACGGTAGTATGAGTATAATTCAGTACCCTCTATCCTTTTGTAGAGAAATAAAAGTACTGTCTTATCGGTCAACAGTTTTTAGATAAGGCGATGTGGTCACGTAAGAACTCCTACCATATATCTACCCCCTTATGCCACTCGAGGCGCATAAACGCAAACCCTACTTCATTAACAGTTCGACGACCCGCCTATTAACTTGAGAGATTTACTTTTATAGCGCCCAAAGCGAGTATGTTTTGGTAACCTTTCAAACTGTTTAGGACATTTGCGTTAAAATGAACTGTTATTTGGCTAATAAAGTTAGCCAAGGGAAGTTTAATAGAGGGATTAATGAGGTATTTTGTTTGTGGGGTCTGTGGTAACATTTAAAACAAACTAAATGGCAAATTGACACTTTCCTGACGATATTGAGGTTTGTGATAGCCTCGTTACAAATGACAAGCTGTGTCTGCCGCAATTTGATGCGGCGGTGTGTGCTACTCCATCCGGTTTTTGTATGAGATTTTGTAACTTTCTTTCACTACAAAACCGAAACTATCGAAATACCCGAAATGCGGTGTGTTTTGAGAACCGTCTTATAAGTTTGGAAGTTTTACTACGTGTGCAAATATATTGCTGCCTAAAAAAACATTATTATCTGCCTGCGCTTATCCCAAATCCGTTGGGGTAGTCGGCGCAACATCATTTGTTAGATAAAACACAAAATCATGAAGCAAAAGGATTTGGCTCTGTTTTACGCCTGCCTGATGTCAACCATGTTGTTGAACATAGTCGATAGATATTCAGCCAAGGTCAAAAACTCTACGTCGCAATCAAAGTAAAATTGTGCATTTTAAAATGTACAATGCATATTTTCATTCCCAAGAAGCGAAAAAAACTTTAACACAACTTTAATTAGTTGAAACGAGCAAAGCTGTAAATATACAGAAACTAATTAAGAAATAGTTCTTTAATGTCACTGACTTTACAAACTTAGCCCCATAAGGCTAAGAGCACGGAGTTCAGACAATAACTTACAATTTAAAATTGAGTCCAGACAAAATGCACAGAGTTAGGAAATTTATTGGAATTTTAATGCACTCACAGTGCTATGTTATTTTCGTAAATGAAAATAAGAAATACGAGCATCAACAGGTTGAAAGATTCGTAAGGGTCAGCCAAGCGCGGGTGGCTTAGATGGCAGAGCAGTGGGACGGTACCCCATGGTACCGGGTTCAAGTCCCGGCCGGCACAAATAATTTTTAAAATTTTCTTGTTTTTTTTTATGAGTTAGGAAGTTTTTCGTCGCAATCTTTAGTGCATCAAATTCATGCGGTCTGCATTACAAATTTATGCGTTACAATTTGCGCATATAAAGAATGGACACGAATTGGCAACATTATTGTTGACATTCTGCTCATATAATAATTTGATAGAGAGGCAAACAACAATTTTGCCAATTCGGGTCCATTCTTTATCAAGAATCAAGAAAGTTTATTTGCAAGAACATAGTTACAATCGATCTTATTATAATAGTAAGCACATAATGTTCAGCTCGCATGCAAGCGTGCAAATATTACATATTTAAGTACCTATATCCGCGCAAGTTATACAAGACTATAACTTACAATTCACAATCTAAAATTCTGTCAAGACAAACTGCGTAGCATTAGAAACTTTTTCATGGCGAGCTTATTAGTAATGCAAGGAGCGTAGTCAGTTGCGCCCCGCACCTCGAGGGTGACCCTGCGCGAATTCTGCCAAACTGTCCACCCCAAGGAAAAGAAATATAAGGTGTAAAAAAATTTGTACAAATATTCTAATGGGTTAAACCGTCCATGAAACTGAACAATTTTCGCCTAGGAACATAGGTCGAAATATGAAAGCTCCCATACAAAATGTGTTTGTTAGCCGGCCGGGTCAGTTGGTATGGGAATATATTTAAGCCTATGTTTCACGGGGAAGGATGTTCAGTTTCATGGACTGGTCCGCCCCTTATAATATCTGCAGTTATTTTTTTACATCCTGTATGTCCCACAAGCCCACAATGTCTGCCACAAGAAAAGGAAATATGCCCCGAAGTATCTCCCCCAAGTTTGCAGGGGTCAGGGACCAGACAGGGGAGGTGAAAAAGATTCGAGACTGTGGTAAATTACAGCCGGTCACCTATTTTCCAATAAGTCTTTCCACCTACCTATTCCTACCTTACGATTTAAAATGAACTTCAACGAAACGCTTACGTACCTACACGTGATTTTAGATTGTATGATAGGTATGACAAACTTGGGTAAAGAATATTTGACGTCATATTCAAATAATTTGTACTCGGTTATAGGCAAATTAAAAGTTATGTTTAATTAGATAGTACAAAATACTAATTATTCTGAGCATCATTTTCCCCGTAGGATATGGTCAACCGCTGAGATGTCATATTCAATTAATAATCTGTAAACGGTTATTATAAAGATGCTATTTATGTATGTGTGTAGATAGAGATATCTGTATTTTCCGTAGAATATATATATATATCACTTTCGCAGCGAACTATCGTATATACCTATCGGGAAAAGATCGCTCGCTGGATTTAGCCTTAGTGGCTCGCTAGCCGAATGTATGGAACATGCTGCACCTGAGAGAAGAGTTCTGAAATTTGGCACACTTAATCTTTAGGGTCAATGAATCGATCTGACCCGTAGTACACAATTTTAAAAAAATCCTGTGAGGAGTAATGACGTCATCTTTTTTTTGTATGGGAAAAAAAAATTTTTTGTTCCAAAACCTATTGTGTGTGGTATCAAATGAAAGGCCTTGCTAAGCCGATTCTAAAAATATATGACATTATTATATTTAAGTCACTTGTATAAAATTAAATAGGAAATAATTCTCGAAACATGCCACGTTTGGGCTTCTCCAGGTATGATACGGTTGGATCATTACTTAAGAAATATACGTAATATAATGTGTAATATCCTCATCTCTAACCTCAAGAAAGGTACTACGGATTTTTTGTCTTTAAGTATTTTTTTTTTAATTTTAAAGTTACAGAAATTTATGAAAACACACTTAGTTGAAATTTGGCATCGAAAGTTCAATTTTGGTTATCGAGAATGATAAAAATAAAGCCAGATGAGATTTTAATTATATGTACATCATATTCGTTTTGCAAAAATAACATGTTATGTGCTTCGGAGGGCACGGTTCACCCTCCGCCCCATCGCAGTCGCTCTCTATGAATAATTAGACGGCGGCGGTCGGTCAAGGTCGATAGATAGGGGCCGAATAGTAACCATGGTTCATGGGGTCGTTCGTAGACTTAGTGTCCCATTTGACAGAACAAGACTATTTATTAATTATAAAATGATAAATACAGATGCGAGAGGAGTTTTGGTTCATCTTTATAATTTTCATTTGTCTATACACACATTATTCCCACACCAGCATCCTTACATTTATTCCCAGGGTATCCATCACCTTCATTAGCTATTTGCCAGCAGAAATGTCCCGCCATGCTAAATATTCTTTTCCTTGAGGCCATATGTATATCTCATGTACCTATTTAAGCTGGGCTATTTTTGGTACTCCTGATGGTCTACATCAGGTTTTCAAAACCTTTGATTTCTAATTGCTAGCAGGAGGGCCCAATCAAGCTAAATTATTTTTTCTTCGGGGACGTATATGTATCTCCTGTAGTTCTCCAAACCTTCGATTTATATTTTCCAGCAGACACGTCCCATCGCGCTAAACAATTTTTGCTTTGGGACTATATAATATGTGTCTCCTGTAGTTTAGCTGGGCTTTTGGAGGTGCACCTGGTGGTCCACATAAGGTTCTCCAAACCTTCGATCTATGTTTGCCAGCAGGAGCATTCCATGATGCTAAACAATTCTTGCTTTGGTGCCATAAATGTATTTCCCATTGTTTAGCTGGGCTCGTGGTTGTGCTTCTAGTGATACACATCAGGTACTCCAGTCCCTCAAGTGGAGAAAAAAAGTAGCCTTTACCTTCTTCAATGCGATAGCAATCTTTGTACCAAATTTTATCAAAATCCGTTCTGTAGTTTTTCAGGATGCTGTCACATACAAACATCTAAACGGAAAAAATATGTAAAAACTTTTGAAACGTGTTTTGTTATCAATTTCAAGAATTCGCTGACAATTTATTTTCCAATATCTTTTATGTAGGTACCTACAGGCTTTCGACCCTCTACAACTTTATTATTATGTATAGATTCCGTTAATTTTGCCGGTGTGTATATAATGTTACAAAAAAAAGATGACGTCATTACTCCTCATAGGATTTTTTTAAAATTGTGTACTACGGGTCAAATCGATTCATTTATCCTAAAGATTAAGTGTACCAAATTTCAGAACTCTTCTCTCAGGTGCAGCATGTTTTGAACTACCGCTAGGACTAATTCGCGGCTGTATAGCACTCCCTTTCCCATTTGGTGGTAAACTCAGTGAGTGTCATACGACTGCGAATGCAGCTTCTCAACTATACTATTTCCATTGGGATTTAAATGCACTCACAGTGCTAGATTATTCAATCAAGATATTGAAATATGACAGTAATCGATCGGTGCATCGATAGGTAGCTCAGTGGCAGAGCGGTGGAGCGTTGACCCTTGCGGCCCGGGTTCAAGTCTCGGTCCTTGCATGACAATTTTCATATTTTTATTTTAGTTTGAGCTAGTTTCACTTATATTATTTTTACTACCTACCGTAGTCTTACCATAAAAAAAAATACTTTTGTAAGTATTCAATATTTCTATCATTCTTCTTTCTTCTATATTCAATCTACACCTCCACTACATAATAACCTTTTCGGTACGCAATACCTATGCTACCATTACTTTTTCAAGAACTAACCAGTAAAATCTACGATTGCACTTACAATATTCTTGAAAAATATGAAAATAGTAAATGGAAAACAACGATTTTGCATCCAAGCTTGTGAATTATAAATTGCATTTTAAAACAGCTGTAGTTACAAATTTTTATGTCTTGTACATTTTGTTTGTTTGTATTTTTCTCTGTTGTATGTACCTATTTGTTCTGTGCTATATAGTATTAGGTATACTAGATTAAATACTTGCGGGGTATTGTTATGTTTTACTTACATATCATTACATATGCAAGTTATACATAACACGATAATTGCAACAATACAGGATTCTGGGAGATACCTATGCTGATTAATGCATGACGATGATAAATAAACTTTTTTTTAATAACATAAAGTAAGTATAATATATTCACAATATAGAAACGTGCCTACATATTACACATACAACTCGTAGAAGAGGAACAGTATTTCTTTCTTCAAGGCATTTAAATTTCGAGTGCAGACGTTCCGTTTTACGCGGCACGTCCGCGGAATGTAAAACAAACTCTAACTGCTGTACGTGGATCCAGTAGAAGTAAAAGGAACGGTAGGTATACCAACTGCAGACAAACCACCAAAACGCGAATCGAATTCGGATTCAGGAAGAACTTGTACAAAGCAGGCAGACAGAAGTGCTATTGAAAGACGTAATTCAGGATACAGTGGCGATTTTTCTTGCTTTTTATTAACTGACAGAAAAACATGACGTGAAGCGTGGTGACAAAACTAAATACCCATTAAAAGTGGAATGCTATTGTGACGGAATTCGCCATAAAAACTATTTCAGTGCTTGTCTGCCAGTCAAAAGTATGACAAGATTTCGGTTAGGACTGCGTGTGGCAGATAGCTGAGGAGATCTAGGTACTGCATTCAATTTATAGTTAAAAGCCACCACCACGTCCAGCACTTACCTTTCTACGCCTGCACTGTAGGTGCACCTAGTATTTTAGAGCCCTTGCACACAAACGTTGTCCTCCTGCGATTTCTCAGCGGAGCTTTTAGGGTTACTGCAGACTTTTCTTACTGGCTTTGAACTATACTGTGGCCCATCGGTTGGGGGTAAAAACCAGCTCTTTTACAGTGTACTTTGTTATTTTAAATTAGGCTGCAAATTGCATTAGCTGGCCGCAACCACGTGCACTTTTCGGAGGGGAGGAAAACGGGGCGGTCTAAATTTTCCCTCTTGACGTTTTGAATTTTAATAGGAATTTCCGGGTTTTATGTTTGTTGTGGCCTGTTGTCAAGGAAAATGGAAAATTCTTGAAAGAAAACATACCTAATTGGTTTCTGATTAGAAGCAATCAAATCTAGACACACGGCAGTGTGTCCGCCAAGTTCGAGCAAAAAATGCGACACACCGGCCGTGGGTT